CACACACACACACACACACACACACACACACACACACACACACACACTTCCTAGGTCAGCAATTGTCTCGGCAGCCTTGCCTTGCTCTGGCGTCCTGTCCTGCTCATGCCTTGGTACTCCAGTACCTCTGGTACTGGGTTTTATATTCTTAATACCAACTGCCCCTGAGTTGGCCCTAAACCCATGCATCCTCTCTGCCTGGCACTGGCAAGGGCCTAGTGCTTGGCCAGTGGTATATCCTAAAGCAGCAGTTCTCAAACTCACTCAATTGGCCACAATTGGGACATCATAACACGCATCTTTATTTGAGACAAGAATTGAGTCTGGTGATGTATTTGGGAAGAGATCACGTGAAGCACTAGCAGAAAATAGGGAAACGAGCCAGACAAGCACATCATTGAGCAGGTCACTGGTGTGGACCCCTGGAGTTTAAATCGGTTGGTAATCTCTGGCAGCCAGTGTAGAGCACCCATCCCAGAGTTAGCCTCTCATGGGGAGTGGGAGCTGAATATATAACCACCATTGCTGTCCATCATTGGTTGAGCATTGCTCCTTATGTGGAGTTAATTCTCTGGGACTTCTGGCAGCTTCCATTTCCCAGGTGGAGCATCAGGGCAAAGGGATGCAGATGCAAGCACGTGGAAGTCAAGCTGGCTTTCCTTGAGACTGAGGCCTGAGGGGCGCCTGGGTGGCTCAGTCGGTTAAGCATCTACCTTCAGCTCAGGTCATGATCCCAGGGTCCTGGGGTCAGGCTCCCCACTCTGTGGGGAGTCTGCTTGTCCCTCTGCCTCTCCCCACTGCTCATGCTCACTCACTCTCTCGAAAATAAATAAGTAAAATCTTAGAACAACAACAAAACAGAAAACAGGGAGGCCTGAATGCTCGGGGCACAGCACTAACAGCATCTGCTCTGACACTCTTCCCTAAGCACCATGAACATTATCAATGTACTAAATTGAAAATGACCAAATCTGCAATTCTGTGCTGAATCAGAGACCCTTTTATACTAAATTGAAGACTGCGTTAAGTAGTAACCAACCCCAGAAGTTTATGAAAAAACTGTGGGAAGAAATCTTTAAGAAAAATATTACCATATTTTCCCCTGTGAACTGGGATGGCGTATTAATATTTGACTTAAGTGGCACTAGTGTTCACAGCTGTACGGTTTGAGCACCACCACTTCAGAAGAGGGCCTGCGTGTGTAATAAGATTGATCTTTATCATGGCAGTGTTTCCACCTCTGTTGTACCTTGACTTTTTTCTGTCATTTCTCAAGTACATTAAGATGATCTTAAAAGAAAAATTCATTGGGAGACAACATTTAAACTCATTTGTCAACCCATGATTATATCCCCAGTGCCATGTTTGAATATTAATACTGGATTCACCATACTGACACTAATACCAAAGGATGGGAGAGAATTCCTGTAGTTATGGCTTTAGGCACTATGATAAATGTTTTTTGTAGTCATTGCCTTTATGTAGAAACACTCCATCTCCAATTAAAGATTACTAAGCTCTTCATCAAAATATCTCTTCACAGTTGAGGCATACAAAATGGTTGTGTTGACATTTCAACTTAATTCACGCTATAGTTTTGTGGGTCTCAATCCATTTTATATGCTTGGTTTTTGTTGGTTTGTTTTTTTCTCTGCATGGAGGAGGAATAGTGGCAGAAATGGGGGGAGGTAATGCAGATTCTAGAAACATTTTCCATGTACTTACTATTACTAACTCTATTGGCATATTTGTCACCACAAATGAAGGCCTTACTCCAAGAGATGATTTAAAATTGCTCATGTAGCGAGCTCAGTAGAGTTGAGTGGCTAAACCATTTGCTGGGAGTTAGGGGCTTTTTACAATTTGTATAGAAAAGATTCAGGATCCCGGTGTTTTAGAGAAATGTGGCCATTTTCCTTCAAGCCACGGTTCAACGTGCAGTTCTGCAAAGAATGAGACTATGAGTAGCTGGTGTTAATGCCCCGTCCCTGTGTCCTGTGTGCGTGGCAGACATTCCTCGGTGTGTCCTCCTGCGTCCCCCTCTGCAAAGTGCCCCTGCAGCCGCTGCCCTTCATCAGGACCGGCTCACTGGGCGGGGCCTGTGCACTCTCCAGCTCTTGCACACCTTCTTGCTCATCCTTGCCATTGCCGTGAACCGTCCACAAAGGAATCTTTCCTAGTCTCTCTACCAAAAAAAAAAGATGAATGCAAGAGGAGGTAGTTCGTTTGATCACCTTGTGCCTTCTCATTCCTGTGTCTGCCATGCAGATGGTGGTTACTCCCTTTGTCAGTGTTTGTCTCCCTTCCTTTTTTCCTTCTACCACGCACATTTTATGTTTTTCCTCTCTTCCCTTTTCCCTTTGGTGTTTCTCAGAAGATAAAGTAGGGAGCCCCAGTCTCATAGGCATCGAAATGTTAATTTTTTCCCCTCCCACTTCAGGAAGGCTGCTCTGCTGTAGGTTACCAGTGACCTCCGCATTGCCAAGTCTTCTGGGCCTTCCTTGGACGTATCTTCTGTACAACATGGGATGATTCTGACCATGCTCTGCTCTTGAACCCTTCTTTCTTGGATTTTCCTCCTTGATTTGATTTCTCTCCCTGCTGCCTTTCCTCTGCTGGTGTTTTTGGGAGCGGTGGCGGGGGGTGGGGGGCGGGCAGCCCCAGAGTTCTTCCCTTGGCCTCCTCTCGCCCATACACCCCTCCTGGATGATTTCATCCATTCCCCTGGTTTTTAACAATCACCTTTACATAGATGCCTCCTGCATCCCCATCTCCATACATCCCCTCTCGCCAGAGCTTTGTATCTGGTAGCCTGCTAAATAGTGCCTTTTGTGGTTCCCATGTGACCCAGAGTCAGCATCTTTCACTTGTTCTAGATGATTCATTTTTACAGGGCCAAGCAAATATTTGCTCCTCTCACCTTGTTTCTGCTACCTCCTTGGGGTCATAGGTAAACTGTTGTAAGTTTGTCAGAAAACTTCCATCTTGGAAAATGAAGTGTAGGACAAGGGCACAAACCAGGAGCTAATCCTCAGAACTTAGGGGCTTAAAAGCAAACAGTCATTTAATAAGTATCTCTCACAGTTGCAGGGGTTGACTAGACTCAGCTGGGCAGGTCTTGCTCTGGGTCTCTCATTTAGTGGCAGTTAGATGGCTGGGGCCATCTCAGGGCCTGGTGGCCGGGACCTGGGCCAGGAATGCATTGTCACGTAGCCTGGGTTCCTCACAGCATGGCAGCTGGATTCTCAGAATAGGTGTCCTCGGGGGCCAACCTCAGAAGTCTCATAGTGTCACTTTTGCCCTGTTTACCATCCTGCCCAGCTTTAAGGGGATGAGACATAGACACACCTCTGGATAGAAGGCCTGTCACATTGTGGTTATGCTGGAAAACACATCCAGTCATAGTCCTCACATAATGTCTAACTATTCTTTTGAGAACACCTGGAAAGTCACAGCTTTCTGTTTTGTTTTAAAATTTTTTTTTTGAGTAGGTGACATATTTACATGATTGGAAAGTTAAAATAAGTATAAATGTATACTGTGAAAATGTTCTTTCTCATCCCTTACACATGCCTCCTCATAGACAACCACTGTTTTGTTTCTTTACATACTTCCAGAGTTTATAGGTATTTTTTTATTTCGGTTCTGTGCCTTGCTTTTTGTTGTTGTTGTTTAACAATATATCAGGGAGAGATTTCCTTATCAGTACATGGAGGGTCTGCTTTCTCTCCTTCCCTCCCCTCCCGCCCTCTCCCTCTCTCTCTGTCACACACACGCACGCACGCAGAGTATTCTACTGTGTGCCTTTACCTTAGTTTTCTTTATTAGTTCTCTATGGGTGGGCACCCGGCTATTGCAGAACTACGGCAGTGCGTAACATTTATATGCTGTCTTTCATGGGAGAGAATACACTGGAAGCCTTCCTCGAGAACTGTAGCCAGCTATGATACGTCACCTCTCATCCCATCATGGCACTTCCCCCGCCTCTCACTGGACCAAGGCCACCTAAAGGTCACGGACTGTGGCACTGTAGCACAGGGGGCTCTGTGTCCACAGCATAAGGAGGAGACCTGTACTGAGGAGGGACAAAGAAGGAAGAGCAGGCGGAGGTGACTAAGGATAGGTTTTCTGGGTGCCCTGGGTTCCCCTTCCTCTGATTTTATTTGTGGCCACATCTCCTAATTTGAGTTACCACTTCAGCCTGCCACCGAAACTGGAATTGGGTCCCACCCTGTTCTGCCTGGTATTGTGGGTCCAGGCCCAAGCCCAGTTTTTTTGTAGTTCCCCTGGTCTCCCGGGAGGCGCTCTCTGACGACTCGTCTTATCCAAAAGTAGCACCATCAGGGGTCGTTGGGGGTGGTAGTCATCATAGAGTACTAAGATATCGATGAGTTGCTATCGCAAAATAGAATTCTTCTCTTATTGAGGAGATATTCTTAAATCACGTACTTTTTCTGTTTCTGTTAGGAAATGTATTCCTTGAGGAATACACATTGTTTTTGTTAAATTAAGAAGGCCAGACTCTACCCTCCACAAAAAAGATGGACAGTTGTACTTTTTGTTTTAAAGAAAGCTCTCTGGGATGGTGTATGCTCAGGATTTTTTCTGTTGTAAGGAAAAGAGACTTCATTCAAACTAGGTTGAGCAAAACTAGGAATATGGCAATAATAGGAAAGTTTCAGGGTACGCACAGCTGGATCTGGGTGCTCAGATAATGTCACTAG